AAGGGACGTTTCCTCTGTCTCTTTGCCCCGGTGTTAAGGTCTTCACTCTTTGTATGTCAGTTACCGCCGCTGGGACCTAGTTACTGCTCCTCCGGCAATCACGCCTCTCCCTTAATTAACACAGGAAATTACATTCTTATATTTATAACCCAATAAGTAGACTGGCCGCTGAAAAAGGTCACATCAACAGTTTTCGCCCTATAGCGGTTCGGCCCATGAGGATACGGCTGGGAGGAAAGCCAAGTGAAGTGCAGGCATAGAAGCCATGCTCAGCTATTTGTCCATCATGTTCAGGAGGTTGTCAAATTAATCACTGGAAAACAGGCTTATAGCGAGTAAGTAGGGACACCAATGAGAAGGAAATTTAATCCAAAGCATTAAATATCAGGAGAATATGACATTTCCTCACGTTTGAGGCTCTACCACAGGCAACAGTGTCCTCGGCTAATGCGCTCACATTCGCTGCTGCGCGAATGGCGCTGAGCTCAAATTCTGCTCTGGTGAACTCTAATAATCATAGGCATATTTTGCATGTTTTTTTTTTTTTTTTTAATCAACAATTAGATGATGATAATAATGAGATTTTCTTCTTCCTATGCAGAACATTTGGTTATTCTTTTGGTTTTTTCCTGGGATAAAAATTCCTGGTACACATGTAGTGCTGGTTTGATCTGAAATTTAGTCAATTAATGGATTGACAGAACAATTTTGATAAATGATTAATCGTTTTAGTCATTCATCAGGCAAAAAAAAAAAAAAAGCAAATACTTGCTTGTTACATGTTAGTATGTTTTCATTTTCCTCTGTTTTATATCATTGTAAACAGATTTTTGTTGGTTTGAAAAAACAAGCAATTTTAGGACGACTTGGGTCCTGTGAAATTATGATGGTGAGGATTGGAGTAAACTATTAACTGATTAACTGGAAAAATCATATATAAGAATCATCGTAATAAAAATGAGAATCAGTTGCAGTGCTGCGCATAGGAAGTGAAGTGTCCCAGCTCTCCTGACAAACTCTCATGCTGACTTGTACTATCGAAATATTAAAGGAAAACTATGGATTATTAAGTTATGGTTTTATTCTGAACTTTGGTCATTATATCTATTAGTTATCATAATACTAAGTTAATGCCGACACAAGCCAACAGTTTAGCTGGATTATCTAAACATCTTTATTTGGAGTTTGGGCAAATAACCATTTTAAACTTGCTTTAATTCCAGACACAAACGGTCAGTACAGTAGGTCAAAGTTGGAGCAGATATCAGTCTGCAAACTGTGATGGATGTTTACAACAGACAGTTTGGGTAATGATTTCAGTTTACCTTCGTCTTTATCTCCACATTAGTTTTTTGCTAACATGATAGTCGTCTAAAACCTGTCTGACTGTCTAACCGCTCATGTTTCTTCCTGTTTTTGTCATATCATTAAC